CTTAAAGTTATTAAATTAAGTTATTATCCTTCAGATACCTAAAACCTTGCTATACGTGTTGAAGTCTATTTTTCAGTTGGTAGACTTCGTAATCGACTCGTATAACAATAGATAAAATATATTTTATTAAAGAGAAACAAAAACTTACAAAGGAAAATAGCAATAATTTTGGTGATAAAAAAATTTCTTTAAGAAAAAAAAAGAAATTCAAAAGGTGATTTTTATACTTGAAAAATCAGTATGAGAAAATTTTAAATGACATGGGAAAATTTTCTCTTGCAGAAAAATAAACAAAAGGATATTGGTATTATTAGTTAATAATAACCATCAAATAATAAATTTGTAAAACATAATCAAATCTTGTTTATAGATTGATAATATAATGATCAAAATATAATGCAGTTAATTTACTAGATAAAAATGATGTAATAATTTTAGAATTTACTCAGATATAATACTCAGGCCTAATTTAGTATCTGCATATTTAAAATACAAGAAAAAATGTTTACTTTGCATAATCTGTTTATTAAAAGGTTAATTTTAGATTTGTATTCAACATCAAAAGATTATTCTCATGAGAAATTACTTGAAAATCAAATTTCAATAAACTTTTATGATATAGGAAAAAAATTAGTATATCAGATTGACATATTTAAGTCACATGGGAGGTTTGCTATGAAAATGGGGCTCTGAGCATTTTTTATTAAAATTTTAATTTTTATTGCATTTTAGTTTTTGATAATATTGGATTAAAATGCAATAAAAATTAAAATTTTAATAAAAAATGCTCAGAGTCTCATTTTCCTAGCAAACCTTCCACATGATATAGAATAATATTATTTTTTAATTGATAAAGAAATCCATTTCAGTAGCTATAGTTAATAGTTTAATTTAACAAAATATCTGTTTAGAGAACTAAAACTTAATAAACTAATTCATCAAAATTTATTTTTAAGAGAAGGGATATTGTAATAAACTAAAAAGTTATCTTATAAATCACATGATTTTTACTTTATCACAAAATCTATCCAATTAACTAAAACTGGCAGATCTTCAAAATCTATCTAATCAGCTTAAATGGCAGATTCTTAAAATCTGTTATATATGTAATATATGTCAGATATACGATGAAAAACTAATTATTACCTTTTTTATTTTTATTTATATTTTTATTATTAATTATTTTATTTATTTATATTATCAAATTTCTTATAAAAGAGTAGCTTTAGAACTTTATTAAAGATGGGAAATATAATCATGATCTAGAAAATTTACTTGGTTTATTGCTAACAAGATAACTACTAGATATACTTGTATGCTAACAAATACACTTATAATAATTCTTTAAATTAATAAAACTCTAAATTACTCGTAAATTATATAAAATATACATTACTTTTATAATCTCCAAAAGCTCTTTATAAATCTTATATTATAAATATTAAAGCTAAATCTTTTGTTAATCTTGCGTTAATACTAATTTTCAGTTATTAGTATCATAAGATAACATTATATTTATTTTATGAGTTATTATATTTTTTAATTAATTTTGATTGTTTTATAATAGGAAAAAAAAAGCTTTAAAACTATTTTTTTAATAATTAAGATTAAATTTGAATTTATTTACCAATAAAATTATATTTAATATATAAAGTATATTTTTTATTATTTAGTATTTATTTAATATAATTATTAAAAAAAAAAATTATCTAATTTTGATTAATTTTATAATATATTAATTATATTTTTATTAATTAATATTTTTAATAATTAATTAAATTTATTAATTCATTAAATTTATTTAAAATTTAAATGACTGATTAAAATATTTAATTAAATTTAAACTTAAAATAAATATTAATTTAAATTAATCATTTTTAATAATTTAATAATAAGTAAAAATGGTTTGAAACCATTTTTTTTACTAATATTTTATTAATACCTTTAAAATTTTAAAAATATTTTTAATAAAAATTATCTTTAAAACCTAAAAAATAAAAAAGTAAATCTCAAAAATATATAACTCTTGTATTAAAATAATTAAAATATATTAATTTAAGATAATATATAAAATCTATATATACAATATGCATATGTATACATTAATTTAAATATGCATATATTACATAACATAAAATATACATGAATTATTATCAAAAATAGATAAATTATATATAAAAAATAAATTTTTATATAAGAAATTGTTAGTATTTTTTTATTTAATAATAAATTTAGTAAATTTGTATGTTATTTAATGAATTAATATAATAAATTTTAGTAAAAGTAACTAAAAAACTACAAATATATATAATTTAAAAAATAAACAAATAGAACAAGTAGACCGACCTTATACTAAAAATGTATTATTATATTAATAATAAAGTATTATTTTTATAATGTAATTCTATGAGAATATGTATTTATAATATTATTGATATATGTCATTATAAATAATTTTTAATAAAAATTAACTTTAAATTTTATTTAAATATTTTATTAGTTTTTTAAATATTTTTTACATAAATAAATTAATATCTTTCACATGGTAGAATATAGATTACTAAAAATTACAATTTTTTTCAAACATTACATATATACACATTATCAAATTTCTCATTTTTGCCAAAAATGTATAACTTTGTATTCTTGAATTTTCTTGTTCTATAGATTCACTTATTATTATCCATCTCTCAAATTCTATCCTCAAAATTATCATCATAAACGGATAAGCATATTCATGTAACGATACAATATTTCCATACCTCGATCAATCATAAATCTTCAAATAACGACTTGACTTGTTTAAATGGCAAATAAACTTCAAATATGCTCTATGATATTAAAGGAAAATACTCGGGAATTAGTCAAAGGAGAATAAAAGATGAATCATTTTGTTGTTGCTTAAGAGAGCACAATAATCCTAAAAGACTATCCTTGATTGTTTTACTAATCCAATACAGCGTAACAAATTCATCAATTAACAACTCAGAATTCATTCCAAGTTTGTAGAGCATTGTTCAATCCAGTAGCTCTTCAGCGAACGGGTTAATAAAAAGAATTTTAACTTTAAATCACCATTAAATTCGATATATACAGGATGAATTTCCTGAAATTCTTGCACCATTTAGCACTACGAAAGTACCCTCAGAAAACAGTGTTTGGTTTCATTTAGCAGTAACATCCTTGGTTTTTCTCTTTACTGCTGCACCATTTTCTCCGTCTCTTTGAAACATGAAAAAGTAAAACATAGAAAAATGACAAAATACTCCAAAATAAAAGGTAACATGATTTATACCTGAAACTCATCAAATTCGTCTTTTCATTTTCCTTAAAAATTTCAGTACATAATAAGAGATTATTGAAAAGCACAATCGTAAAATTTATAAATAAATGAACGAAAAGGAATGGGTGAAAAATAAAATTTTGTTCATTCGTTAAATTCAACGCGTCTCCATTTTATACCGTTCTCAACTACAATTTCGGTTTATTGGTTCAATATCACATGATGATAAATGCTGATGAGATGAGCCAATATCAAGGTCCATTCAAATAAATTTGAATTCAGTGCATTTCTTCATTCTGAAAGGTAAAAACGTTTTATTAAAGAAAATTTCTCGTGTGCATTGAGAATTTAAACATGAATTCAAGCTTTCAAACATTGTGAAATCATCGCAAATAAATTTTTTTTTTTTAAATTGTCGCTTCCATTATTGTGTACAACATAATTTGTGCAATGTCAAATTTATGCATTTATTAAACTTTAAATTTAATTTAAACCTCGATGATTGTCGTATCATGTTAATTATGGTTTAAATTTATTTTCATTAGAAAAAAAAGAATGTGAGAAAGGTGTGTAAATGTCGTTCAATTAGGACTAGATCAACAATGTCTTAACATATGCTTATTCGTACACGAAGTTGAAATGATAAAATTTTTAATTTTCTATAACGTTTTTTCATCAGTTTTTGTGATAAATATATAATGTAACTCAGGATTGAAAATTTGCCGAATTTATATAAAACAAGGCAGCATAATAAATGATACATTTGGAACGTTATGGGCGATATTATTGCGCCACATTTTAAAAAATTCCCATTATTCTTCTTATGTATAATTATATCATTGAGTAACAAAGAACTTTATGATTGGACGATTCTTGACTCGGGCTGTTGGGGACAAAGAAACGTTGAGCCATTTAAACGCTTGTAATACTTGTAATAATTTTTTTGTTCTTTTTTGTATCTTCATTATCGATAAATGTGGAAATAAAATTTGCATACCTCAAAAAAAATTTTGTTTCCTCATGAAAAAATAATTGGTACAAGTATGCGATCTACAAGGAAATTCCCAAAATAGTTCATGAATGAAATTATAAAAATAGCTGGAAAACAATACAATTTAAATTTATCGTCTTTTTTGCTTTCTTTGTAACCAAATTTTAATTACCAAACAAACAATTAGAACTCCACAATTTGTTCCCCCAATTTATTTTACTGTTTATTTCTATAAATTCGAGCATATCTTTGCCATCTTTCTCTAAAATTTTAATTTATTAAATACCAATGGAATTAGACAAGATATTGGTTAGAGATATTGGTAGACTATATGAAGATTCAGACGATTGCAATGTTCAAATTCAAGTTGGACATGGGTCAAATGTTCGTATTTTTAAGGCTCACTCGGTTATCCTAAGAGCAAGGTCTTCATATTTTCGTGCTGCTCTGTCATCTAATTGGGCTAGAAAAGATGGTGATTATATGATTCTTCATCAACCAAATATATCTCCAGTAGTTTTCGAAATTATTCTCAAGTAAGTTTATATTCCATTCATACGTTAAGGAATGATTAAACTTTAAATTTACCCTTTCCTTTTTTTTTAATTTAGATATATTTATACTGGTACGATTGTTATGGATGATATGAATATTAGAGTGAATTATACATGCCTTCTTGCTGCCGCTGATGAATTGGCCATCATAGAATTAATTGATCATATTCAAGATCATATAATTAAGAATGATGCTGCATTATTAAGAAGGAAGCTCGTTGAATTTCTTACAATGACGGCAAAACATGAAGCATGCAATAAACTTCATAAATATTGTGAAGGAATTATCTGTGACGATCCTGTCAGATTCTTCTCTTTGGAAGAATTTGGTTTCTTGGATAAATCTAATTTAATCGATATATTAAAAAAAGAATTGTTCAATATCAAAGAAATTGAAATTTGGAATAATGTAGTTAAATGGGGAATGGCTCAACATCAGAAATTTCCATCAGATAACTCAAAATGGCAACCTTTAGATTTTATAATGTTAAGAGATACATTACAAGATTGTATTCCACATATCAGATTTTTTAATATTTCAGGACCGGATTATTATAATAAAGTTCGACCTTTTAAAAAAATACTACCAAAGGAATTAAGGGAGGATTTAGAGCAATTTTATATTGCTCATCAAATTTCTTCAAGATCAATCGTTTTACCACCACGTGGAAAAGGGGGAATTGATACAACGATAATCACTCCAACTTATGCAGCAGTTCTCGCGTCTTGGATTGATAAGAAAAATGAACCATATCAATTTCATGATATTCCCTATAAATTTAATTTACTTATTCGTGGAAGTCGTGATGGATTAAATGATTATCGTGAATTTCTAAAGCGTTGTAGTAATAAAGGTCCAACTTTAGTTATAATTAAAGTCAAAGGATCTAAACGTTTGTTAGGTGGATATAATCCTGTTAGATGGTGTGCAAGTGATGGCTATTTATCTTCTAATGATAGTTTTATATTCTCTTTTGATGATAATGAACATATGACGAAACCTATTCTTTCTCGTGTTAAAATTCCTGATCGAGCTATCTTTAATATAGAAGATGAATATTTGGGCTTTGGTAGCGATTTAGAATGGTTTGCAGGAATTTGTGAACAAAATGATTATCAACAAAAAATTTATAATGGAATTGAATTTATCATGGATGATTATGAAGTTTTTCAAGTCGTTAAATATTAATAATTTTAATGTATACGGTTAAGAACTTTTTCTTTTTTTTTCTCTTTTTTAAGATATGTGATATGACATTAGTATATAATTTTACATAATTTTCCCTTTAGATTAATAGATTTATTACTATATATGTTAATACTTTTTTATGTTTATAATTTTTTTTAATCCACTTTTTTCATCTTTTAAATTTGTAAATTTTTTCATTGTAGTTTATATAGACTATCACTTTTAAAGAACTTTTTTTTTTTTTCCTGTTATATAATTAATTCTTTGAAAAATTAGTTTTATGATTTAATAAGCATTCTTTGTAAATACATGAAGAGACACTTTAAGATATCAAATAAGTTTTATGTATAAGAAAACTTATGATTATATATATTAAAAATTCAATGCATGGGTGGCAGCAGCGAGTTTTAAGAAAGAAGGTAACTTGGCATAATCAATTCAATTAAATTCAATTAATTCAAAAAAAAAAAAAAATTTGGGTTGTAAAATAAATTTTATTCTCGAACCCAAATTAACAATAAAAAGATTACACACATCTTTATTCCCACACATCTTGTTGTTTCATATGTGCTCTTCAATGATTCGTTTATGAAAATCTTCCCGATCAAAATCTTCGATCACTCGAAATTTACGTTTCGCGTTTGAATTCTAAACGCCAAATAAAATTAAACCTGTTTATAATTACTCGATATTAAAACTAGTTAGTTCATTAAACGAAATCGTGTCGATCCCCAAAAAAGTTTCGAAGGTAAAATTTAATTTACCTTTTTAGGAACAGGGGAATCAATAACACTTTAGAACGAGATCGATTTTTTATTTAAATTTTTTTTTCATTTTCACAGCAAGTGGTTCGTCCAAAATGAATAGAGTAATGCTTTTGGTATGTAATTTTACATTTAAATCTTTCATATCTATAAAAATTAACTCGTTTTTTAAAAAAAAGCAACGAAAAGACTTTATATTTACTGAAGCTGTTGCCAGGGAAGCATTTCCTAATTTTAATCTCAAATCGTGGATAACGAAAATGTTATCCCATAGCCAAGATAGAGCAAATGCTTTAGAAGAATTGAACATGGCTTGGAAATTCATGTATCCTTATGATAAAGTGGTTTATGTAAGTTTTAACTTAACTTTGTTTTTATTTATTATTATTATTAACGATAGAAAAAATCAGTTTCCAGAATTTGCCCGAAGTCAAGTCTTTGTGGCAATGGATGATTATAAAACATGCGTTAATTTGGATGATGAACCAATGCATATGAGAATATTTCGTGTTTTCCATAAACAGATCGTTGACTATGAAAATGTATCACAAAACTTATCAAAACGTAGGCGTAAGGAAATTATGGTTAGATGATTATTTATTTCCCCATTTTTTTTAATAATATCTTGTTTCTTTTCTAATAAAGTTTTTCCAAATTAAAGGATGAACAAAATGACAATATAATAAAAAAAGGACGAAAATTAATAGAAGTAATCAATAAAGGGAGACTAGTGTTGGGTGAAAATTGGAAACGAAATAAAACAATCGAAAAAATAATTTTAGAAGAGATTATTGTAGGTAATGTTGTTAAAAGAACAATCCGCTTATTTAATATTGGTAATAATGATGCTTTCTGATGATTATTATTATTATTATTATTATTAGACGAAACCAAAAAAAGTACAAAATTTGATTTTTACAATAGAGTTTGCAAATAATGAAATACCTTATATTGATCTTGCTACGTGGGCCGTACAAATGCATTCTGATAATAAAGAAATTCGTGAATCGGCACGTGATTCTCTAGATCTAGCCTTCGATTTAAGATTTTCGGATCCAATTGATAATTTTAATGCGAGTATTAATTTTAAAGAGAGCGACGCATATTTTTTATTTTAAAAAATATTAATTAATTCATTTATTTTTTTATTTTAATGAATAGATATTTAGTCGCATAGAGTCCGGTTTGGACGATTATGAATCGATTGTACCAAAATCAGAAAGAAATTTACCAATGTTAACATTTCGTAAAATCATTGATAGCTACTTTGTTCGAAGGCGTGATGCAAAGTAAGGAAATTATCGTATATATTATAAAATTATTTACACCTATAGACCAAAAAACACAATGCGTCAAATATGAATGTAAATCCGAGTGATTTTCAGCCACTTTATCCCCTTTAAATCATCCTTTATTTCTTGTGTTGCCCCCTTTTTTTCAATTTAGTAATGATTTCTTTTCCGAGCATAACCTAAAAAGGAAGATATCAAAAATTTTTTATTGATGGGTTGATCTTTCAGATGCATAGTCTATCCTAATTTGTTGCATTGCTTACATTTCAAACAGTATCTCTATAGTGAAATAAATGGCAACCGAAATATCTGTATAATTTGATTAGCTTCAATTAGTCTTAGTTTCGGACATAAATGCCTCCGATATTATCTAGATAAAGGCATATCACCTTGTGTTACCTTTGAAAAAAATTTTTTATTTGGCTATAATGAATCGATCATTTTAGGAATTTCCGATTGGTTTCATGGTTGATTTTTTTTGTAGATCTTTATAATTATTTATTTATATACAAAAAATATTTATAAACGAGATTCTCGTTTTATAAACTAATTTTTTTTTTTTGAAAGAAAAAAAAAAAATTTCTGGAAAAAAAAAAAAATGCCATTGGGTAAGTATATGATGAAGTTTCTTTCCAAATGCATAATAAGCACGCAGATGCAACGCACACCAATATATTAATTTCATTTTTATCTTTGTCCTATTATTCTTTTAATGATTTAGGTCAATTAATAACAAAATTGTCGAATAAAAGGAAAAGTGCAACAAAATCCAAATTTAGTTTTAATTCCATAACGGATTGTTTAGAAGTAGTATTTCAATATTTAGTAGAAGATCAAGGAACGCTCTATTCATGCATTTTAGTAAATCGTGATTGGTGTCGACTAGCGATTCCAATTTTATGGAGTGATCCATTTAAAAATATAAGTAGTAAATATTCAATTCGAACTTACATTTCATGCTTGGAATTTTTGGAGAAATCATTAATTAATAAATCCATTCAAATTCCGGATTTAACTTCCAATGCATTATTTGATTATCCGAAATTCTTGCAAATCTTTGAATATAATCATTTTGCTCAAATACTTGAAATTTATATTAAAACGATTGAGATTGAAACCAACCCGGATTTAGGAAAGATTTATTTGATTATAACGAACATTATAATTGATATGATATTCAAAAAGTCGAAAGGGTTAAGAATTTTTAAGTACGTTCATGACCATATCCCAAGTCAAAAGATCATTTATACCTTGGATCATTTATTATACTCTTACAACGACAACGCGGAAGGGAAAGGGTGGATTACCCCTTTTATCCCATTAAGTAAACTTACAAGTTTAACATTTATTGCATATTGCGTTAATGAAGAAAGCTATAATAACATATGGCCAAATTTTTTCAATACGCTTGCGAAATTAGCGAGGAATATTCAAGAGATATTCATTCATTTCCCTACAGATGATGAAACTTATTCTTTCAAAGAAGTTTTACCCGCAATAACAAACCTAATTAAATCACAAATCAGTTTAAAAGGCTTGGAAATGAATCGAATTGACTGTTCAACGATGGACCAAGAAATTATTAACGCACTTACGACATCTCAATCGAATTCCCTGAGAAGTTTTAAAATTAATGGAGAAATCAAATTTACATCCTTAATTCAATTATTAGTAAATTGTAAAAATTTGAAATCGATCAACATGCATAAATTGATCAAGTTGGAAGAAAAATCATCAAATGATTACAAATTAGTTATACCATCACTTGAAAGGTTTTGTCATTGGAATCCACATTTACAATTTCAATATCAGACGAATAATGCTGATGAAGAGATTATTTTGATTCTTAAGATGGCTTCAATGAGTTTAAAGAAATTAGCCTGTAGTTTCTTTAATCAAGATATTTTTAGCGCGATAAATAAATATAGTGTTAATTTATCTCATTTATGTTTATTCATTACATCCGATTCACTTGAAAGGATTGCCAGGGTATTACCTTTTATGTATACTTTATCTTATTTATATTTAGAATCTCCAAAAGTTGATATTATCTTATTTAGATCCAGCATGTTACAATTGTTGGGTACTTCCATACCCGAAACTTTAAATCATTTATGTTTAAATTTATGTATTTCTTTGAGATTTTTAAGGGATTTTTTGACTTGTTGCAATATTAAATTAACTAGTTTGGAATTATATGGTGTTGAAGATGCGACATATAAATTCGCTACTTATATTAGTGAATATTATGATAGGAATGATCAATTGAGATTATTGAAATTGGACAGGAATCTCTTTTCTAAATTTAATTCCTTTCTTGGTCATCTTCACCAGAAGAAAGTTGGTTTTGAAGTTGTTGAAAGTTATCAACCTTCTTGGTTTGATGAAAATTAACGATTGGTGAATTGAGAAATAACAGCAATATACATATTATGTATATATAAAGTTAAAGCTGGAGCTAGGAATTCTCGAAACAATAATAAAAAACAAAAAATTGCAACATGTAGAATATAGTTCTCATAATCAAAGTAATAATTCGTGACTTTATTTAGTTGAGAGATGTAGAAAATATTTATTTTGCCACCTCAAGCATCAATTATTATTATATTACTAAATTTATTTACACACTGCGGTGGACCTCGACAAATTCACGTGTTTCATCGAGAGCCTTATCAATTGGCGCAGTTGCCGTACCAACTTAGAATGAAAACAATAATTTTTTTTAATACAAATCTAAATTAATAATAAATTTTATTATATACTATACTGACCTATAGTTTCCTTTGGAGGCTTTAATATTAAAGAAACGATCAAAAATTTAATAACATAATTACAAAAAAAAAATTAGTAAATAAAAATAAAAAAATATTGATCCGAACCTTGTCGGGAGCAAATGGGTGAGCTCGAGTTGGAACAGTATGACGAGTTTTTTCGAAATCAGATGCAAGTTTCTGCAATTCATCACTTCCGATTGCTTTTGTGAGTTGAGGGAATAGATCGGTTTCCTCTTTGGTGGAGTGCTCATAAAATTCCTTTTTATAAGGGGAAAAAAGTCTTTAAATACTCATGAAATGAAAAATATTTAATGATATCACTCGGAAGATGATTTACATCCATAACTTTTTTAAGGAGTTCATTATATCCTTCGTCGCCAATTTTCATCGAGTCCAACTTGTAAAGGTCCTTTTTAATCTGAAGATGTTCGTTCCGATTATGATCCGCGGTGTCTTTTCCTTCCGCCAAATGCTTCTCAACGAGCGGGTATACAATTATTTCTTCCGTTGCAGAATGAATTGAGACTATTTCATAATGAAAATTTTATTCAAATAAATAAAATCGAAAATGAAAAGTATATTTTATTTTTTTTCAAGACTCACTTACCCTCGCGAAGTATAGTATTAGCAATTTTTTGACGTTCATTGTCACTTTTTTCTTCCTGAAAACGTTTCCACAAACTCTTGATAACGCTATGATCTTCAATTGCTATATCAAATAGATTTTTTGTCTGTTTTCGCAATAAAAAAAACGATTTTTTATATTTAATATTTAAATAGATGATTCAATTTAAATCGAAAACTTGCCATGTTTGATGGATTGATCTGAGTAAAAGCAGCAGCGGCGTTGGGGATAGTTCTGTCTATGTAAAATCTTTTGTTAATAAAATAGATGGGTAACTTTGAACGTGATTTGACAATCGAGAAATTTTTATCCTTTTTTTTTCCTTCCTGATTGACACTTATAAATAAAATCATTGTGATAATATTTTATGTCGTCTTTTATCATTTTTGCATCATTAAATTGTCATGTCTTACGCCAACCTAATCGATAAGTAATACTTTAACATATTTTACTACATAAGGTAATTATTATATTACCTGGATAGACTTTATAACAAAACAATATCAGGTAACCACCTTTCTTTTTTAACGGTTACCGCGGTGGAAAATGTTCGTCATAAAGTAACAATGACTTTATACTGGACAAACTCTCATGATTCCTTTTTAAGAGTCTTTATAATTCAACAACTTTACGTCATGTTATATTTAAAAAAATTTATGTAAGAGATCGGTTGTATTATTAGTATTTACTTTTTTGAACTATATGAAAACTGTTGATAATCGTTTTCAAATATCAATAAATCCATAAATTTCGTAGAGATGACTGAACATAACATAATTCAATCATACTACGAATTCTACTAACTTAAAAAAAATATTCAAGAAATCGGGTAAATATTATATCATATGAGAGCGTTCGCATGTAGATCAATTTTATAATTAAATTTATTCGTGTAACAATAATTGAAAATGTCACTCCGTTAAAAATTTTAAACATATACTGCTTATACAAATCAAGTAATTGTTAGAATGTCATATGATCTGTTCATTTTTTTCAACATTTCTCCTTTTTTTAATAATCAATTTTTTTTTTTGCAATAATAAGTTTCGCTTTAAAAACCTTCTTTTTTTAAGATCTTCTTAAAGGTTGAAGAAAATGATTTTGACAGTAAAAATATAACATAAGGAAAAATAATTTCTTAGGTTGTAAAGGTAATTATTCAAATATTTCATATAAAATTCAAAATTTGATTTTTTAGTAAAAAAAAATTAAAAAAATTTGATTTTTTTATTTAAAGTTTATTGAATAACATTTAATTAACAAAATATTTTATAATTTGCAAGTTTTATTATGGCGAAAAAGGTAATTATTTAAGTAAATTTTAGGCTATTCTTGAATTTTGTTAAAATTTCTTTAATTTTAATATAAAGAATAATAAAATTTATTATATTTTATTATAGAAAATAATTATATAATATTTTTAAATATATTTTTAAGTGGTTTTATAATTAAATATTAGTTAAATAATCGCAAATTTAATATTTATATATATTTTGAAGTGTTTAAAAAGATGTAAACATAATGTTTTTTTTTTCATTTAAATTAAGTAAAAGTATTAAATAGACAAAAAAATAGTTTTTAATAAGTTTTGATTATTTATATAATAAAATATATCAATAATAAACAACTTTTCCAATAAGACTAGTTGAATTATTCACTTTTTAAAGTTAATAAAAATGTTTGTAAGAAGTTAATAACCATTTTGATATATTAACTATTTGATTTAGTTAAAAATGTAATACAATTTGTATATTACAAAGTAAAAAAAGGTCAAAAATTATATAAAATTTTGTCAATCAGATGGTTGATATTTATATCAATATTATTTACTATGATCAATATATAATATGTCTGATGATTGTTATCATTCACTAAACATTTAACTATCATATAATACTTAATTTTTATTATGCAAAATTGATTATCATACAATATCAAAAAAGATGGGTATAAAAAATTTTAAATTATTAATATTTTTAATAAAAAATTAATTAAAATATAAGTACATATTAAATAAATCTTTATTTTTATAAATAATTATTAGTAAAATAAATATTAATAATGATCTAAGTAAAGTTAAAGATTGTTAAAAATAATTTAAACATTATTTAATTAAGTAAAAACAAAATTATAAAATCTAATATAACAAAATTATTGTAATCAAAAATTTAAATGTATTGATAAAGAAGAAGGTATTAGGATTTTGCAGGCAAATTTGCCTGCTTATTTACTATAAATTCTTTTCTGATTTACTTTTATAAATAATTAATGTTTTTTAAAAATTTTTTTTTAATTAATTTTATAAATATATAATAAATTATAGTAAGTTTTATCTTTTAATTATATATTAAAAAGTTTAAGATTACTT